CAAACGTTTGACTTTATTTATTAAGTTTTCACCCGTTTTTTTATTCTGGCTTGGTTTTCTATTAAAATTTATAAATTATTTAAAAAGTTTTGGGAATTTCAAAATGCTCATGAATTTTAAAAAATGTTGGAGAATTTTTAAAACATGCCTGAATTTGAAAAATGTTTGTAAATTTCAAACAAAATAGTTTTTTTAATAGAAATGTAAATTTTTCATCAATTTGAAAAAATATTCAGGATTTTAAAAACTACTACTATGAATTTTAAAATTGTCCACAAATTTAGAAATAAATTCCTGGATTTCAAAAGAATTCATGAATTGAAAAATTGTTCATAGTTTTAATAATGTTGCCATATTTTGATAAATATTCCCAACTTTGATAACTTATATGATTTTGAAATTATAAATATAAAAAATATACAAAGTGAAAACGTAATCAAAGAGAAAATTAAAATCGAAATACAACCGAAAGAGGAAGGTCGGGAAAAATGTAAAAAAAATACCAATTGAAGAAGGTTCTAGAATGTCCTCAAAATCGTAGGAAAAAAGAATAGGAAGCCTGTACGAGGACAACCCATATAGCTCGGGGTGGGGGTGGGCTGGGGGTATGCATTTGGTGGCCAAGTCCGGCTCACATGAAGACTTTATTTAGAGATAGAAAAAGTCCAAAACAAACATTAAAATTATACACGAAAGGTAAATCCAACCCCGAATCTTGATTCCCATAAATTAGCACTTTGAACTTGTAATCCTGATCAATTTTGTCCTTTTTCTATGCGTCATGTGTGAAAGTATAATGCTGTAAATTTTTCCCACATGCATTATGTACATGTGTATGTGTATTAAGAAAAGGCAAAAAAGTTGCCCTGTATAAAATGTTATTTTAATGGTCCTGATAACACCCACACGTGTGGCATACTAGTCATCCACTCACACATTATGTGTGGCATGAGTAAGAGGCAGCTCACACGGGTTATGTGTGGGCAAATATTGCAATTACCCACACGTGTGGACGCAGCTACTTCGTTTCACACGCCCAACAAGTACTACTCATTTTCACCCCGCGCTTGTGGCACGAAGCAAATGTGCCCACACGTCCTGACACAGCTACGTTAGATACCCGCGGGATGATGATTTAGTTGACATCCGGGATGGCAGATGTAGTTATCCGGGATAGCAAATGTAGCTGTAAAAGCATGACAACTCTCTCTGTTTTGGTTAACTATAGTTGTCATGTCTAATTTATGGTAGTTGCAGCGTGTAATCAAACAATAGTTGTCGTGTGTGATTAACTACTTGCCACATATGGTCAAACAATAGTTGCCATGTGGGTTTACCTAGTTGCCACGTGTGGTCCAACCATACTTGCCACGTATGATTAATCACAGTTGTCATGTGTGTTTATCTGGTTGCCACGTATGCACAACTGCAGTTGCCGTCTAGTAACGAACCATAGTTATCATGTGTGTTTACCTAGTTGTCACCGATTACCATTCAACAACGTACGAGTGTTGTGTGGGCGAACACCCACACGCGCATGAACTAGGTGGTGGCTGTGTTGACAGAAACTAATTCGCCCACACAACGCACTTGACAAACCACGTGTTGCGGAACGTGTGAGCGGAATTTCCTATTTGCCGCTCTTTGCGGACGAGCGCGTTAGGATGGGCCGGCCCGTTCAAACGTTAAAGCGAATCCGGTTTTGAGAATCTTCTAGGTAGTTCCCAGGCGGTTTTTCTGGTTTTGAGAACCTTCTAGAAGGTTCATGAACCATTTTTTCTATTTCCCCCTTTACCCCTTTTTGTTTCTTTTCTTTTACTATTTCTTTTTCTTTTTCGTTTTAATGTTCTTTTTTCTTTTTCTGTTTTCTTTTTATCTTTTTTCGTTTTTTATGTTTCTTTTTTTCTTGTTTTCTGTTTCTTTTTCATTTTTTCGTTTTTTGTTTTTCTCTTTTCAAAGTTATATTATTATATTTTCAATTTTTTTGTGTTGCTCACAATTGTTCAAAACTTCATAAAATGTTCTCATTTTTCAAATTTTGTTCATGCTTTCAAAAAATTGTTCAAAACTTCACAAAATGTTCTCATTTTCAAATTTTGTTCATCCTTTCAAAAAAATTGTTCAAAACTTCACAAAATGGTCTCATTTTCAATTTTTGTTCCTGACTTGAAAAAATGTTCATGCTTTAAATTATTCAAAGTTAAATAAATGTTCTCATCTTCAAATTTTGTTTCTCTTTTATTTTTTTAGTTTCTTTTTCTTTTTTCTGTTTTTTCACAATTTCACAACTTTGCAAAATTTGTTTGCAAATTAAGAAAAATGTTCTTTTTTCAATTTTTGTTCGTGAGTTTCAGTAAATGTTCCTTTTCAAATTTTGTTTGCATTTTTTCAGAAAATATTCGTGTTTGAAATTTTTGTTCGTGAGTTTCGTAAAATGTTCCCATTTCAAAAATTTGTTCACATATTTCAAATTTTGTTCGGGAGTTTTAAAGAATGTTCACATATTTCATACGAACTTAACTTTTTCTCTCAAACATAACGTTCGCGTACAAAATTTTGTTCTCTAAATTCAAAAAATGTTCGGGATTTTAAAAAATGTTCATTTTACCAAAACTTTGTTCAAGTGTTTTAGTTGTTCTTCTAGCATTCAGCAAACGCGAACAATTTTTGAATTTTAATTTTTTTTGAACATATCCAATGTTTAAGGTTTCTAGGTGGGGGTGTTAGATATGTAGTAGATGATCTTTTAAAGTACCCGCGTTACATATGACCGAAGGAGGTAGTTAGCTCGCCTAGTTAGCGACAAGAGTATACTTTTTTTTTGACTGGAACACCGTGCATTCCAATTACCAAGGACTAACCAAATCGGTGATCACAACACAAGTTACAATATCAGGGAGATTTGAAAAGCCAAACAAATTGGTTCCCATAGGCACCACTACAGCCTAAAGCAGCCAGTTCATGGGCTGGGGCATTACAAGCGCGTGGACAGTGGTAGACATTCCACTTAATAAAACTGAACTGGAGCAGGTATTTGAGCTCGTGAAAGATGGCACCCAGTGGGGATCGATCAAGAGTTCCAGAATTGATGGCCTGCACAGGAGCCAAGCAATCAGTCTCAAAAACAACACGACCCATGACATGGTCTTCAGCAAACCGGACCGCATGCAGCAGGGCAGAAGCTTCAGCATGAAGAGCATCGGACACGTTTTCCAACACGCCGGCGGCCGCGAAGAGGACGTCTCCAGCATGGTCCCGAGCAATGCACCCCCAGCCACCAGGTTGTGACAGGCCCCTAAAAGCTGCATCAATGTTGATTTTAACCACATCCAGAGCTGGCTTGACCCATTTCTGAATCCTCTGCACTCTTGGCTGTACAGGTTTTGCATTGTATTCCCGCCATTCAGTGACATGTCTGGTAACAGAAGACTGAAACTCCTCCGCTGATGCTCTGCTTTGGTTATGATTCGCTTTGTTCCTCTCTGTCCACCACAACCACATGAGGCAAATTGCTCTTAGTTTTACATCCTCGGGTATACGAAAGAGCTCCTCTAGCAGCCGGCGAGATGTTTGGCATTCAAGCAGGCTTTGACGAACACCCTCCAGACCACAAGCACTCCAGATTTTCTTTACCTCTTTGCAGCGCAGAAACAAGTGCCCTCCGTCCTCCGGCAGACGATGGCACACCACGCAACTTGTGTCCAGTTCAACTCCAATGTGCTCCACGTTTCGCAGCAAAGGGTGACTATTGTGTGCCAATCTCCACATGAAGTGATGTACCTTCCCGGGGCAATTCACTTGCCAGAGGTGCTGCCACATTTTCTTTTCCTCCTCCCGCCCTGACGAGCATTCACCAGTTTGCCGCTGGCATTGGCGCCGAAGAAGGTCGACATGAATCCTATATGCTGAGCAGACAGAGAATAACCCCTTCCTGTCAAACTGCCATGCCACGAAGTCCTCATGATGTTCAAAGATGGGAATCGACAAGATCACATTTGCATCCTCCTGACAGAAAATTTGCCTAACCAGCTGAGTATCCCAAGAGTTAGTGTATGGATCAATCAACTCCGCAACCCTAGTCAGCAGGGTGCTTCCCCTCCTCGTTCTTGGGTACCTGACCGCACCAGAAGGAAGCCATGGGTCCTTCCAGATCCTAATATTGTCGCCATTACCAACTCGCCACACCATCCCCTCCTTAATGACCTCTACTCCCTGAAGGATGCTCCGCCAAACATAGCTTATGCCAGGAGCAATTGTAGCAGAAAGAATGTCACCGTCCGGATAATACTTGGCTTGTAGGACACGAGCGACAAGAGTATACTAGCTCCAGGTGCAGCCATCGATCCCCCGCTCCGCGTTATAATTTTATAGGTGATCATTTTGCTGTTTCGTCGCGACGATGGGCCGGCCCATTCGGGGGGCTGTATCTGTGCGGCGCGTGCGAATCGGACGCAAAGAGCGGCACATAGGAGGTCTCCGTGTGAGCAGATGAGCTGTAGGCTTTTTTTGTCTACGGCGGACATGCTGGGCCGAGATGAGCTGAAGGCCTGCAACTAATCTGCTCTAAATGTGTCTAGAAAAAATAATCTGCTCTAAATTGAAATCTGTTACTTTCGCAAAAAGAAAAGCATTGGAATCCGTTACGCCTTTTACCGTACACAAATTGTCACGGATTTCTCGCCTGAAACTAAAGCACCACTACCAGCACCGCTACGGCACCTAAACTCGCGCGTACATGGGCGATGGCACGAGGTGGACACGACACCAGGCGTTAGTCGTGCGTCCCTCCAAACTCTCAACGAACTCCGATATCTCCTCCCGAGTTCCCACCTAATGGCCTCCTCACCCCGTCACGTCTGTACAAAGCGTAGTAGTATCTGCCGAATCACTTCACTAATTTTCCAGCTGCAGCTCCCACACCTTCCGTCCAAGCGATCGATCGTCCGCTCCGCCGCCTGTCCAACGAGCTCCTCCTAGCTCGATCGAGGCCCGCCATTGCCATGGACGCCGCACGGATCGCGTCCCTTCTGCTCCTCCTCGGTACGCCTGCGAGTTCTTGGTTAGACGAAGTTCATCAGGTTGTTGCTGCATTCGCGCTGACGTACGCGTGTCTGCATGGTAACGTCTCCGCGCAGGGGTCGTTTGGTCACGCGCACAGCCCGGCGCCGAGGCGGCCGGCACGACGGTCTTCACGCTGCGCAACAACTGCACCTTCACGATCTGGCCGGCCACATTGTCCGGCAACAGCGCCGCCGCCGTCGGGGGCGGCGGCTTCGAGCTCGCGCCGGGCGCCAACGTGTCGTTCCCCGGCCCGACGGGCTGGTCCGGCCGGCTCTGGGCGCGCACCGGCTGCGTCGCCGCGGCCTCCGGCGCGTCCCTCGCCTGCACCACGGGCGACTGCGGCGGCGCCGTGAGCTGCGCCCTCGGCGGCGCGCCCCCCGTCACGCTCGCCGAGTTCACCCTCGGGGGCTCCGACGGGAAGGACTTCTACGACGTGAGCCTGGTGGATGGGTACAACGTGGGCATCGGCGTGGCGGCCACGGGCGCCATGGTGAACTCCTCGACGTGCGGCTACGCCGGGTGCGTGGGCGACGTGAACGCGCTGTGCCCCGCGGAGCTGCAGGTGGCCGGCAAGGAGGGCGCCCAGGAGGGGAGGACGGTGGCGTGCCGGAGCGCGTGCGAGGCGTTCGGGACGGCCGAGTACTGCTGCACGGGCGCGCACGGCGGGCCGGACAGCTGCGGGCCGACCAGGTACTCCAGGCTGTTCAAGGCGGCGTGCCCCGCCGCCTACAGCTACGCCTACGACGATCCCACCAGCACCTTCACCTGCGGCGCCGGAGCGCAGTACCTCATCACCTTTTGCCCCGCGCAGCAGTAGTCCGGCCGTTCGATTTTGGCTAGCAGTGTCGTTCGCTCATCGTTATGGTGTCTCGATTTTTGGTTAGTATCGTTCATCCGAATTACTTACCAGATGTTTATTGGTTTGGTCGTGTCAATATGTATACTTTTGATTCATTATAAATTTAATTTCTAAAAAAGAAGACGTATGCTTTTGATTCATCTGGACTTTGCACAAAATAGATGGATTTATTTGTCACATGGTTTGATGATTTTTTTTCCTCATGGTCTAGTTTTTTTTTGAGCGGTTCCTCTTGGTCCAGTGCACTGCTTTTTTCTTACCCCCTCTCTCTTAGTTTACAAGGCGTGCGCGTACCCCTAGATCGTCAATTTGACCAACCTAATACAAGTCATATATTACAAAAAATATACCAATATAAATTTCAGATGTTCTATTTTCAAAAAGTATAATTTTTGTGTTATATAGTTTATATTAGGGTGATAAAATTGGCAACCTAAGTATACGCGTAGGACTTGTAAACTGTGACGGAGGGAGTAGACAAGTCTAATGCACTGCTTCCAGAGATTTTTTGTGCTTGTATAAATCCTGAGAAGAGAAGTTGGCACATGAACAAAACGAACGGGACGGGCCATCTCAGTCCATTCAACAAGGAAAAGGTTCAAAATAAATCTTCAACTTGTAGATGAAAGCTAAATCGAACTTACCTAAAAAAAAGTTAAATCAAACTTTGAACTCATAATCTCGAAAATTAGCACATCAAACTTTCTGATCCCAACCTATTTTAAATCTTGAGGATGTTTAACTGGTATTCGCTGTTTTGGCAAGGATAGTTGATGGGCTGGCTGGACATTAGGACGAATTGCGCCGGCCCATTAACGCAGTTGCTTGCAGGCTCATTCGTTCTTTTTTATTTCCATTTTCGTGATGATAATTTCTTCTTTTACATTTTCTTAATGATTAATGAAAATAAATATTTTTTTACGAACGCACTTGTCTTCTACTTCCTTCGTCCGGAAATACTTGTCATCAAGATGAATAAAAAGAGGTGTATCTACATGTATTTTAATTTTAGATATATCTTTTTTTATCCATTTCGATAACAAATATTTCCGGACGGAGGGAGTACCAGCCAACCGTAACTCAGGTAACGAACGGCCGCGCTAATTTTCGTGCCGAAATGTTAGACGAGAGATTATATGGGAAGGATGGATTATTAGGAGCGACAAAAATTTGAAGCGGCCACAAAAATTGAGCTTGACAATACTTGAACTCAAGTACGTCGCACTCATAGACGCCTCACCTAACCAATCCGAATGAAGGCTGCTAACGAGTATATTCAGCGTGCACTTGTGTATAAGAACAGAAATGTGCGTTCATATATGAAAACCTTTTTGGAATTTTTTCGAAACATTTCGTAAAAAAAGTATTTTTTTGGAAATACTGAATATAATTTTTAAACGCAAATAACTTACGAAATTCCATTTTTTTGAAAAATGTGACACGGTAACATTTTGCCAAATGCACATTTTACATTTTCTTAATGACAATAAACAATTTATAAAACTATACAAAGATTTTTTAAAAAAAATTCTTCGGTTTTTAAAATTTATTCCGATTTTTTCAAAAAATATTTATGTTTCAAAGAGTGTTCACCTCAAAATTGATTGTGTTCTTAAAAAAATGTTCTTTTTAAAAAAAATATTCAGTATTTTGAAAAGTGTTCGCATTTCAGAATAATCAGAGATTTTAAAATTGTTCGGGCCAGCACAGTTTTAATTTGTTAGCCCTTAAACAATCTCTCAAATCTCGACGCTGTTGTGCGTGGATAAATAGTCGGGATAAATAGTCGGGCCTCACATTACAGCATCAACAGTTAATGCTTCTAGTTTTTTTTGAACATAGTACAGAAGCATGCGCTCATATAAACGTGCATACATTCAACCATATGAACGCACACATGCACAACCTACCGCTATTAGCACCTTGGAAAGACTGAGCCGACATACCATCTTGAAATTTTACGAAATCACTATAGATGCCTCGTAGTCGATGGGAACGTCCCCTTCCATTGAAAATATATCGCCGGAATTACTGAAATAAATCCAGAAGTTTAGCGGCGGCAAATCTTAAGTTCCATTCATGTAGAACTTTTTACTTCGCGTCTGTTGGGCTGGCCTAGTCGCGACCGCTGTCGACCATCCCTTTCGGTATTTTATTTTACGTGTTATGAAAGAAACAAACGGTCTCCGTCTGTTCTTTTTCCTTCCAACAACGTGTACACGAGTTGTGACAGGCTGACAGCCCAAAACAGAGATGTTCGCGGAGTGTGTTCCTGTTTTCTTTTGAAACGTGCACGTTCACCTTTTTCAACATACAAATGTTCGACCCAGTTTTTCACGATAAAATGGTGAATTTTACCATTACTATACAAGTTATAAACAAACTCAAACATCGGTGAATTTTCTGTGCCATGGACCCTCAATCGGTGAATCCTGATAAGCACTCTACTACACGTCTCAAGCTAGTTTTTTCTTTTCATTTTGCGACTACGTCTCAAACTAGTTAGCCTGTACCAGAGTTCCCTAGAAGAACGGCGCTACTGATGTGCGTGCGTGGCGTGCCTGAACACGTCGGCATCGCACTCGCCGTGATCGCTTTGTGCCACAGAACCGGAGCCGGATACGCCGCGCCGCTCCCCTTGCTTCAGCGCGTTGTACCGGGCGACGTCGAACTGGCGGGCGCGCATGAGGCGGCGCTGCCTCGCCGCGAAGCGGCTCCGGTAGAAGCCCTCGAAGGAGGGTTCCATGGCCGTCCGCATGAAGAAGGTGTAGCCGGACATGAAGTAGATGGAGGTGACGTAGAAGCACACGGGCTCCATCACGTCCCACGACAGCTCCCAGAAGGTGAGCCGCATGAACCCCAGCGTCTGCGCCGCCAGCAGGCCCAGCCCGCACCACAGCTCCCGCCGCGTCTGCGCCGCCGCCTTGGCGTCGATGGCCGCCTTCTGCCGCTCCAGCGCCGCGAGCTCCCGCGTGCGCGCCTCGACGTCGTCGCCCGCGGCCGCCGCGCGCGCCGGCGCCGGCAGCATGCTCCCGATCGCCTTTGCCACCTGGTCGGGGCGGAGGAAGACGGCGTCGGCGAGGACGATGACGGCGCCGGCCTCGTCGAGCGCCCCGGCGAGCCTGCGCCCGCCCTCCGCGCCGCCCGCAATGTCGACGCAGAGCGCGGCGTACTCTGACCTGGACACGACGCTCTCGGGGTTGGCCCTCAGCGTGGCGCGCGCGGCCTCCATCTCCGCCGCCCTCGCCACCTTCCTCGCCTCCTGCAGCGTCACCCCCGCCTCCCCGGGCCTCCACGGCACGGCGGCAGGCGGCGGCGTGAGCCCGTCGACGAGGCGGTTGAACAGCTGGTCGCCGACGGGGAACGCGGGGAAGCAGTGGTGCGGGAGCGGCACGGAGACGGTGGAGTAGCGGGCGGTGGCCGGGCGCGGGCGCAGGAATGCGAGCGTGGGGCAGTCCTCCACCACCGGCAGCGTCCGCCTCGCCGGGAGGATGGGAGGCGGGGGCTTGGGCACCGCGGCGGCAGAGCTGGCGGCCGCGCTCTTGGCTGCCCATATGCTCCGTGCAATGGTTCTGCGGAACGCCATTTTTCTTGGAGGCACGAGCTTTCCCGGCTTTGTGGTACGTGACAGAGACGAGAGCTCGAGCTGGGATGTTTGTTTGGTGGGTGGGTCGGAATGGGGGGACGGGGCGGGGTATTTATACCGGGCTATAGTGTGACGCGGCGGATAGAGCCGCGTTTTACCAGCCGAAATCCAGGCAATTAAAAACGGGGATTGAATGTGGCGCTGACCTGGATTCATCGGCCAATCAGGCGTGCGGATTAGTCTGGTTGTAATGGAGAGTATCATATACTAGTATCATGCATATGATACTAGTGTATGATACTACCTCCCTAATGCATAGTATCATGTACTTAATTCATTTAGAATTACTTGTCATAAAAATTGTTGTATCTAAAACTAAAATACGTTTAGATACATTCATTTTTGCGACAAGTAATTTCGAATAGAAGGTATAGTACTTTATTTATTGTCATGCATAACATATATTAGCATAATATTTATTATGATACAGTATATGATACTCAATCCTCTTTTTGTTTATTTAAGTCTATGACATCTTATCAAAATTGTCTAATTGTCATGTATGATACTAGCTATGATATTATTACGACTAGCCTTAGCGAGAGCTGGAGACATGTGGTAGTAGTGCTGACCAATTTAGATGGCGACGACACGTACGGTGTGAGTCTGTTGCTCGCTCGGTCAGCGTCGCGTACAAAAATGTGACCAACGCGTTAGGCAAAACCGCGAACTGCAAGTTGGTTTAGTCCGTTTTTCTTTTCTTGGAAACCCGGCCAGCTCGGCACGCAAGTCAGATGGAGCATTCCGAACAAACATAACACACTGCCTTATTCGGCTCGTTGCTTATCTTTGCTGCGAGGAGATATTACCGTTGCGCTTACGGAAAGAAGGAAGCAGTAACCGTGCACGTGTTTCGACCATAATTTAGAAACAAAAATGAAACGGGAATGAAGACGTGAGGCCGTAGCTCCGGAGTTGGAAAAAGAACAAACATCTGTTTTTTTTTATTTACAGTCACTAAAAAATGTTTTGCTGCATGTGTTTCTTACTGTCTTGTTAGCATGGGAGAAAATTGTAACCATTTTAAGAAAAAAAACTATCGTGTATATTAAATCAAACATACTGCAAACGCATATAAATGACAATGGGATTTCTTTTAAAATTAAATATTGTATTTTTTTGCAAATAAAACATGAACATATCAAGAGCAAAAGACATGACGAACCAACATGTGGTTGAATGGTTAGGACGACGATGGTATCCTTAGCCCACCAGGCACTGGCGGAGCTTCCGCAAGGCCGAGTGGGCCATGGCCCGCCCATGACTAGAGCAAAAAAAAGAGTTTATATGGCACTATACCCAGCCGGCCAGC